TAACAACAATGTATTTTAGGAATATATATTAGATCTACATATATATCATCATGATATACAAATGTACTAATTCTTTTTCTATTTTGATATTATTAATAATTAAAAAAAAAAAAAAAAAAAAAAAAAAAGATTTTTGAATATTGTTATTGATATCAACATCAAAAATTTCTTTCATCATTCTATTACAATTTTTACATCTGAACATTGTTGGAAATCCATTTTTGTCTAAATATTTTCCATTATGATATATAGATTTTTGAATAGTTTTTTTAGTAGTGATTTCTTTGTTTGAGATAATTATAGAATAATCTTTTTGTATTTCTCCATCGATTTTTTTTCTTTTAATATCTATATTCATTTCATTAAAGAATTTAAACCATTTAACAGAATTATTGAAATCATTAATTTCGCTAGGTTTATATTTTCTTTTATTGATGTTTATAGTTTCATTCATTGCATTTTTTACGATTCCTTTGATTTCTTTAATCATTTCATTTTTTTTTTTATTAGGTATTTTATCATTTTTTTCAGGTGGAAGTTTCCATACTTTTTCTATTAATGAATTTTTATTTTCTATATAAATATCTTGATTATTTGAATTAAGTGCTGCTAAAAATATATGAAAATAAATGATTAATTTTTTTTTTTTAATGAATAGGTTTATTTTGATTTTTTTACCTTTTACTTTTGTTTTAATTATTAAAAATTGTATGTTCTTGATATTTTCTAAATCTAGATCAGGTGGTTCTATTCTTCCGTTTATGTGTAAATCCCAAAGATTTTTATCTTTTATATCAGGAGAAGGCAGAACATTATATATTGGACAAATTTGTTGTGGAATAACAGAACTTGGTTTGGGATCTCCACTTAATCCAATTACAACAGCTTCTGATGGACGATCTTTTTTATACGGAAGTGCAATAGCTGCCTATAAAAAATTTTGATATTTATTATCTGAATCGTTTTTAGTAAATCTATAACCTGCTTCATTTAATGGTTTCATAGGATTTGTAGATGATTTATTCATCATAGCATTGATTAAGTAATATACGATATCATTACCAGGTGTTGGATTTTCCAACCTTTGTGTTGTTAAAAATGCTTTTCTGGGTTTGATACGACCAACACGACCTATTTATTGAATTATGCTAGCTTCAAATAAAAATTTAATATCAGGTTTATCATATATCCATCTACCAGCACCAGATCCTACACCTAATTTACTTAGTTGTGTTTCACCAGTTAATATTACGTTATCGATATCTGGGGTAAATCCTATTTCATGATTTATATTTGCAATGAAAATAGATCCAGGTGGCATTCCTTCAGTTATACCAGATATAGTAGAAGAATTTGTATTATCGAATATTACATAAAGAATATCACTATCTTCCAACATTTTTAATTTTTTAGGATCTAATCCTGATTTTAATAATGGTCTTTTTCTATCTTCTTCACCATTTGATTTTCTATGATATTCATCACCAGTTGTTCTGAAAAAAATTTGTGTTTTTTCTTTTTCCCAATTTGTTTGATCATTTCAAAATTCGATTATAGATCGAATTTCTCTAGGTTTTGAAAAAGATATGGAAAATTTTTTTTTTGGAAAAGTAGCACTCATGACCAAAACTTTATAATCCATCATTATTACTAATGGTTGTATTACTTGATAACTTGTATTTGGAAAATGAGATTCGTCAAATATGATTATGGTATTTTCTTTATTGATCAATTTTTCTTTTATTTCTAATACAGCTTTTTCAAAATCTTTATAACGATTTTTAGGATCTTTTAGTTCATCAATATTAACTTTTTCACATGCTATATATCTAACTAGATGATGTAATTGTAATATAGATAATGTCGATTTACCAATTTCACTACTAGTTTCTCTTCTATAATCAATCATTTCGAGAAAATCATTACTATTATCAATTACTGTTTTTCTTTTATTATCATTGATCCATGAAGCAAGACTTCCATTTTTTACTGTGTAAGGTAATACACCTTCCTTTCCATGAATAACACATTTATATGGCATATTATTAGTATATTGTAACCATCCTTTATGATGATTTTCAGTATCTGCAGCTAATTCTTCGTTTGGTGTTACTAATATGATATGATTACCTGGAAATATACAAGTTAACAAATATCTTACTAATTTAGTTGTTTTACCTCTACTTGTTAATATAGGTAAAATTCCAGGTCCATCGTAATTTAATACTGTACGTTTTATTTTACCTAATTTTCCTTTTAGAGTGATTTCTTTTATTTTAGCAAATTTTTCAAGGTTATAATTATTTTTTTCATCTTTTAATTTGTCAGGATGAAAATCTATCAGATTGAAAACATAAGGTAATTGATATGTTCCAGCTAATGATTTATCAAGTTCTTTTTCTTTTTCTAGTACTTCACAACTACTTATTTCAAAATCATTAATGATTTTTCTAGTGAATTTATTGTTTTTTATTTCAGCTATTTTTATTTTTTCTTTTGGTTTATCAATTAAAGAGTATCCATTTAATTTATTTTCATTAGGACCAGGATCTTCACCTTTTAACCAATTTTCAAGATCTTTTTCTTTGAGATTTTTATTTCCTTCTCTTTGTAAAAATTGATCTAAAAATTTGTTTAAGAATTCAGGTGTAACTCTATTTTTCCATTTGTCAAATACTATTTCTTCAATTTCAATGATAGATTTTAATGTTTTTTGATATTTGGTTAGATCAAGTCTATCATTATCAAATTCGTTATTAAGTTCATTGATTTTGTATCTAAAAGTATTTCTTTTATCGGATATCGCTTTTCTAAGATCAATTTGTTTTGCTCCACATGGTAAAAAATTATCTTTTAAATTATTTATTTTGTTTTTTTCATAATCTTCAGGTAGAGATTTAAATGTATTTTTATTATCACTAAGAATATCTTTGAGTATCTCTAATGATGTATCTAATTCAGATTTTTTAACTTCCAAAACTTTTATTTTTTTAAAGTTACGGTAATTTACACATTTATTTATTATTTTAATATTATCTCATCTGTTTTCTAGTGCATTTTTACATTCTGTGATGGTTAAACTAGAAAAAAACCAATTGTTTTCATTGTATTTAGGAATATTGTTCTCATTGAAAAATTTTTTCCATTCGTTTTTTTTGTACATATTTAATGTTGATAATAATACAGGATAAAAAATAACATGGTTTATATATTTTCTTCTTTGATTTCCAATTCTTTTTTTCTTTTTTCTTGGAAATTATGTAAAAATGTTTTAGTGTTTTTAGGATCAAGATATTTTTCGTCTAATTCTTCGATATCATGATAAATATTATTGTTAAATTTATTTGTTAATAAATTTGAATTTTGGCAATTTTCTATCTCTTTTAATATATTTGAATAATTTTCATTTTCTTTTTTTTTCATTTCTTCGATTAATTTTTCTTTTCTTTTATTATAATATTTGTTTAATGATGATTTATCTTTATTATCGGATAGATAATTTTCGTCAAAGGTATCGATATTTTCTTTGATATAATCATCCAAAGTTTCAGGAGTCAAGAATCCAGTGATATCTTTATAGATTTCATCATATATTTCATTATTTTCATTTATTTTAGTTATTTTTTCTATTATTAATGGAGATATATGGTTAATTTGTTCTTTGGTTAGAACTTTATTTTTGATTATATTATTATTAAAATCAGCTAATAGATTGGTATTTTTTTCTGTATTTAATTCTTTGATGTATTGGTTGTATATTTCAGTTCTGAGATTTGATAATTTGTTTTTTCTCAATTCTTGTAATTTTTTGATGTTAGAAGGTGATAGATTTGAATTTACGATTTCTTTATCTATATTTCCATTATTAAGTAATTTTTCAACATTATCTTTATTAATCTCTATAATGTTTTTTCTATTTCTTTAACGAGGATGTCTTCATTAGGATTAGGTTTTTTTGGTGGTTGAGAATCTTTTTTAATTTCAGTCATTTTTTCATCTATCTTATTTTTAATATTTTCTTTTTGTTCGTTAGATAATAATTCATGTTCTGTTATTATTTTTTTCAAATTCTCTAGTTCTTTTTCGGTTTGTAAATTTTTTATTTCATTTAGGAATCCATTATTGGTTTTTTTAATAATAGAAGATATTTTATCATTTAATATTTTTGTTAATTTTTCGATATTGTCTTCTGATAAATTTAATTTTTTGATTTTTTCATCTAGTTTTTTATCAAGTAATTTTTTTGCATCTTTGCTTTTTTCGATTTCTTTTGTAATTTCATCGAAAGCTTCTTTTCTGATTTTTCTAATTTATTTCAAAATAATGTTGTGATATGTTCTTTTTCTTGATTTGACAATATTTTATCTTTGTATAATACAGCAAATATATCATCCATATCTTTTACGGTTTTTGATACTTTTATTTGATTTTCAAATTGTTTGATTTTATCATTTACAAAGTTGGTTAATTTGTTTTTTCTTAGATTCTATAATTTCTCGATATTATCATGTGATAATTTTGCTTCTTTTATTCTTTCCTCTAAATCTTCATTTTCTAATAATTTTTCTGCATTATTTTTATTGACATCTTCTATTTCTTTTTTTAGTTTATTGAATAAAACAATTTCAGAACTATCAGGTTGTTTCGGTTTAAATGTTTTGATTTCAGATTCAATTATTTCAAGTTCAAATTCAAGTTTACCACATAATATACTTAATCTTCATAATTCAAATTTATTTTTATCAATTTCTGGTATGTTTGATAATTTAATTAGCTCAGCGATAGGACCATCATTATTGATATATTCATTACGTAAATCTTTTTCTGAATTTAAATATTCTGAGAATAAATTAGGAGATTCAAGGTAGTAAAGTTGATTATTTTTTAAAGATTCTGATATATCTAACAATCTATCGATGTATTGATTCATATTTGTTTTTTTTTCTAATTTTATTAATCTATCCATGTTTTTGAACCAATTTTTTTCAATGATATTTTTATCATTTTCAGATATTTCTAATTCTTTCCAAAAGTATGGTTCGTAGTTACCATGCTCGAAAAAATTTTCAAATCTATTGTTTGTAGAAAATTCATCAATGATAAAATCAGTCATGCATGCTTTTTTTAATTTTGTTTTTTGTATTGTCATGAAATAATGTATTTCGTTTAATTCATTGATATTTAGTTTGACCAATTTATTGAAATTTTCATTTTTTAATAATAAACTATATAATCCATCAGTAGTCAATGTTTTACAATTAATTTCAGATTTGATCATTTTGAGTATTTCAGGTATGCATATATTTTCGTATTCTTGATTACACTTGATTAGATTTTTGACAAATGTTGATATGATTAATTTATAAAAATTTTTATCTTTGGTATATACTTCTAATTCTTCGATTTTTTTAAAAATCCAAAAAATATCGATGATATTCAAATTATTCAGATTGTTTAGTAAGTATCTCCACCATTTAAACCAATCTGATACTGATATTTTTTCCAAAGTTTTTAAACGTTTTTTTTCTAAATCAACTATTTTTTCTTTACCAAACTCATTTAAGATATTTTCATTTCTTAGAAAATTGTATATGAATTCTTTATACATTAATAAATCAGAATTTTTATTGTTTTTTATTAAATCAATTAAAAAAGTTTTTTTTTTAGGTAATTCTTCTTTCATTTTCTCACATATATTTTTTCTCAATATCTGTAATTTGATATTATGTTTTTTCAATACTTCATTGGTGTTAATTATTTTCTCATATTTTCCTATTTCACAATAATCTAAGATATTTTTTTGGTCATTTTTTAATAAAGATTTAAAATTATCATATGTTATTTCTTCTATATATATTTTATTTTTATTGTTTTCTTTATCTACAAATTCACCATATTTATTAATACCACTAAGGTATATTGGTGATGACATGAGATTATATTTTAACATGTAATCATCCCATATAATGTTAAAGAGTCCATCAAAATTATTTTTGGTAACAGGATATTGACAACTCGATACATTTTTTGGTTTATATTTTTTGATAATTCGGTTGTGAGAATCGTAATTTACACATTTATGACATATCGATTCAATATTCTTCATATGAATTATCCACAAGATTATTATAATTGGGATCTTGATAATAATCATAATTTTTATTTGGATTATTTACAATTTTATAAAAGTATTCAATGTTGTTATTTGGAATTTCTATTATATTGATATGATTATTTATGTAATTGTAAGGATTTAATTTTACACATTGAAGAATGTTTCTTTCAGTATTGTATAAGATATATGTATAAGTCTGAGAGGAAATACTTTGTATCAAGAGAAGAAACAAAAAATAAAAATATATTTTATTTAGATATTTGAGTAAAATATTTATGTTTAAATAGATAAATTATTGAATATTTAACCTATTTTTAAATGCAACAATTCAAAAAAAGAAATATCATCATTTCTTATAACTGATAATAACAAATCGACTATTTCCAAGAAAATTCTTTTATCTATTTTTTTGATATGGAGATAAAAAGATTTATTTCTTTTTTTGTGTATTTGGGTATGATGAATTAGAGATTTCCAAGGTTTAATATAAAAATTTTCTCTATATTTTTTAAGATTATATGATATTATTTTATCAAGATG